GGCTGAGCCTGAGCTCTTCAAAACCACCAACTTCACCAGCTTCATCCGCCAACTCAACCTCTACGGCTTCCGCAAGGTGGTGCTGGGCGGGCCCGGCGCGCCAGGGCCCGGGCCGGGGCCCGGGGGTGGTGGGCCGGCGGGCGACGGGCCGCTCCACCACTTCCACAGCCCGCACTTCCGCCGCGATCAGCCGCAGCTGCTTGTGCACCTCAAGAGGCTCACCAGCGCCAACAAGGCCAAGCTGGCGGCCGGCCTGGAGGTGCCCTGCCGGCCGCCCAACCGCTTCCAGAGGCTCCTCATCACATCGGCCTCCGCCTCGGCCTCCACCTCCCCGCTGCAGCACCAGGAGCCGCCGCCGCCCGCGGGGCCCAGGCCGGAGCCGCACGGTGAGTCCCATCGGGCCTCCTCGGCCCTCGCCCACTGCGGGGCCCATGAGTTCAGGCCGCAACTGCCACTTCAGAGGGCATTGTCGCACCGCCTCCCTCACCTTTGAGGTATCCGGGATCTGCTCTCCGCTGTACTTCCCCCAGAAACAGGTCGCGTCACCTCCCTCGTCCTCACTACCACCCCCTATCGGCCAGTACCTCCTCTGGAAAGAGTCCGAGGCATGGAGCTAACTAAATGTCCACTAAATGTCCACTTCTATGTCCACTAAGCAGCTAAAGGGACTACTGCTTTAGGCCCTCTTTCTGCTCTTCCTGTACCCGTCTCACAACTCCAGATCTCCATTGCCATTGACCTTCTTAACTCTGTGAGCATGTAGAATAAGTAGCCCTTGGTGGAGGCACGGGGTCTGGAAGAAACACAGAAGGGCCTCCTTTGCCCTAGTGGGAAGCACGACAGTGTTACTGTACAGGCTGAGAATATGACGAAGGTCAAGGCAGGAAGGAACCAGGCTGCAGTCAAGAAAACTTAGGACGTTCATACCAACCAAGGGAAAGTGAACAAGACACCTTGAGTGGAAGTTTGTCCTTGGAGAGACGTGCCATCCTCCACCCACTGGCACAGCTGAGAAATCTTGGAAGGAGGGTTCTGACAATAATCACATTTTAGTCTCCAAGTAGTGTATAGGGCAATAGACGTTGTTTATGTACCTCAAAGGCAAAGACATATATTATTGTTTACCAGCTATTGTTCCTGTGTAGAATGAATTGGCTCAGCAGTTCTGTCATTCTAGCTAATTAGTGCTGATGCTTCTTTTAAGATGTTCTGCTTGGATTACCTGTAAGGCAAAAATGATTTTCTTTACAGCTTTCAAGTTTTAGTTAAAAAGAATATTAGAAAGCTTGCATTTACAGCCTTTGAATTTTTCACTATTGGCTACATACAGCCTTTGAGTATTGAAAAAACTTTGTATGTATAAGTCTGTATTTACAAAAAGAAACTCCCGGTGATAAAAAGTTATTTTATAAACTTGATTACTGGTGCTCTTCCCCCTCTTCTAGGAAGGTGAGAGTGGCAATATACCCTTTCTCTATTTAAAGAGTACATGATATGAAGTCCAAGATAGCAACAGGATATAATAGTGAGAACTCATTCTTTATCTTCACCTAGGAGAGTAATAGAAACATTTTCAGATTATGTTAACATGGCTTTAACATAAAAATGTCTGGGTTACTTTTCCGTTATGGAAATCTTTTAAAATATACGAATAAAAGTAACACTACATTCAGTTTATGATTCTGAATGACGCAGCATTTTGTTCTTTTGGAATTTAGAAGATAAGGGATTAGGTTGTGTCTGTGGAGTTTAGAAGATAAGGGATTACCATTCTACTTGTTGGTATGTGCAGAAGGTATGTCAGGTGTGGATTGCCGACACCACAGGTTTGGTTCACTAGGGAGTTGTGTTCGTAACTTGGGTGGGATGTAAGAATACTGGCCCCATTTTGTTTTGCTTTAATTCCATGTTCTAAGTCCTTGACTTTTGTATTTTTCCTCATGTAATTTGTATTCTGCTTGAATTTCTTCGGTTATATACCTGACTACACTGCTACTTTTTAGTTTCCATTTTGTTTTCTGTGTTCTACTTTAGTTTCTGGTTTGAACACTTCTATATCTTTTATAGTAGAGTCCTATACATTAAATTTCTTTTTGGTTTGTGTTATAATTCTTATTCGTTCCACACTTATTTCTTTTAAGGATATGGTTGAGTGCCCATTTTTGTGCCTATTATTAAGGTTCCTGAATGGAAAGACTGAATGGAATTTCTAAAATTTCTAGAAAGTAGCTTACAATTGGGAAAGTCTGGGTCAATCAATTGAGGTAGAAGGTAAGATGACTGAGTAATCTACACGAGGCTTTTAACACTGAATATTTGATTTAACATTTGATTTAATTTTAGAGTTTGGCCACTTGGTCTCTTACTACGAGTCATATTGAGAACCAAACAAAAGTTTATTTGATTATATTTTCAGCATTTTATGTATAATCTCATATTCTGGATTCTGAACTTGTTTTTACCAATACTAGATTTCTGTTGTGTTAAAAATGACTGAGGGACCGGCTGAGTGGCTCAGTTGGTTAAGAGCTCGCTCAAGGGTGTGAGCTCTGAGCAACAGCGGTTCGAGTCCCAGCCCGAGCTGAGCAGCTGCTGAGCTGCCAACAGGTGGCAGGATAGCTCAGCTAAAGAAAAAAAAAATGACTGAGAAGTCAACATTTCATGGTGAAGAGTAGTGTGTATATTCTGACTTTGGGTTTACTACATCCAGTAGTGTAATGTAAAATTAACCAATGTGCTTTTCCTCTTTTATGCAGGATCAGTGGCTGTAGGACAATTCCACCGGTCATTCCGGCGAGATAGTTTGTCTCCTTACTCCTACATATCAACTTCGTCCCACAACCACAATACTTTTCCTCTGAAAAGTTTAGATCGGACCCCGATTCCTCCTAGAACATGGCAGAACTCCCTTGGAATGCACCCAGGACAAGTGGAAACGTCTCCCACTTTTTCAGATAAAGGGGTTCAATTTCCTGTACTGCAGAGGTTTCCAACTGAAGTAACCTATACCCTGCAGCCCAGCACCACATCTGTACACGTTCAGCAAGGTCCTCAAACAATGGTCAGCTCCTCCCAAAAATATAGTAACTACACACCCTCAGCGCAGTACTCCCAAGCCTACTATCCAACAGGTATGAGAAATTCAAGTTCAGTGGCTTCTCTTAAAGTATTTTATGAGCATTTGTATTTTTAAATGCATTTCTGTATGATTAAGCAAAAATAGGAATATGCACCTAAGAAATGTCAAAGATTTCTCATCAAGGCATTTTTAAGCAATATAGAAAATTTCAATGTGTTCTTAAGGATTGTGAAATTTCTGTTGGTGCATAAAGGTGTATCTTTAAAATGTGTCCTAGTAATGAAATTAGTACTTAGTACATGGGAACCTTGCTGTAACTCTGTCCTTGGTGCAGAATTATTTTTCTTTTTAAAAAAATATTTATGTACATATCACATATTTTATATTTTTTAATTTTATAGGTGAGATTACCTCATAATAAAATTATTTTAGTATCTCAGTAATGAAGTTTAATTAAAGAGCCTACTCTCCATTTTTTAAAACTAAGTTATATTTTTTAAATAAAAACGTAACGATATGGTTTGACAGTAAAGTCCCTGCAATGTTAATCCCAGCCAGCTAAGAACTGGGGACTAGCAGAGAGGAGAGCCTGACAATGACAACTGATTTAGAGCTCAACCAAGGGCATTCAAGACATACTGGTAAATCTCAAGCTGCTAATTGGGAATCCTTATGATAGTGACAATCTGTTTAGCTTTTGGGTGGGTGTCTTTATTTTTTTTTCAGGGGGTGGGGTAGGAATACATTTTTGCAAGATTATAGCCTTACCATTTTATTCAAATGTATATTCTATTTTGCAGAGGCATCATAGCCATGGTGTATGTTTCATCATGTAGTGTGCTTTAAACAGAGTGGTGAAATAGGACAATAGAAACAAGACAAGGGTCAAGGCTTTCAGAAAACACAAGAGAGAGAAGAAAGGGTACATTTCTTTTCCCTATGAATTCAGACTCTAGGAATAGTGGTTTTCTCAGATATGTAGATCTGGAAGTGATCTCTAGAGGTATTTTGTTAGACTATTTCTCTCAGACAGGACGAAATCAAAAGCTAACATAAGTGGAAGGGAATGTAAATTAGATAAGGGAATTAAATAATTTGTTGCCTTTTAAAAGTTGTAAATCTGGTAACTGTTCCATTTGTAACAGAATCACTATTTTCTAGCTGTAATATCCAATTATCTTCTTTTACTATCAGCTCATTGCATTCTACCTAAATATAGTAGTAAAAGGGATTGCTTTATTTTTTGAAAGCACTTAAGTTTAATAATAACAAAAGAATAAAACCAGAGTTTAAATTACACTAGGTTTTATAGATTTTTAGAGCTGTTGCTGTTTTCATGGATGGAGTTGAAAAGAAAAAGGAGAAAGAATTATACGGAGTAAGGAAGATTTAGCACTTTGAATCATTTCGACTATTAGAAATTAAAAAAACTTTTATACCTTTTTATATAGAAAAAGGTTGAGGCCTAGTATTTTTCCAGATTATCAGCTACTTCTTGAAGAACAAAAATATCTGTGTGATCTTTAAAAACAGAAGATGACCAATTTCATGTTATAAGTTATATATCTAATGTATAGCAACAAATAGGATCAGATTTTTATTAATGAGGAATTTAATTCAATATTTTAATAAATAAATTAGACATTGTATCTGAATTATAATTTTGGCTGAATTTCCTGGGTGCATGGAATGTATATGTGTATATATAAAGAGACAGTGTGTGTCTTCCTTACACTTGCTTTATATTCTGTAGCCCATCAACTGGACAGTAACCCTACTTCCGCTCCTTTTACCAATAAATATTTCTCTGTTCTTTCCTAACTCCCCTCCAAGCTCTCCTCCTTAAACTACTGAAGACTCAGAAGCCTCAGGGGAGTTGAAATATGGAAGGACTGCAGCAGGGAGATGTAAAAATGTGCTTGGCCTTCCAATTTGGAATTTTGGAGGCATTTTCCTATGGACATATAAGATATGGTGGTTAGGTTTTATAGTGCTATTAGTCCTACTCTTACAGTGCAGATGGTTATAGTCTGGCTCAGGAGCCAAACTAGCCTGTATGATGTTTCTATGGGGAAATGTATTCCAAGTTCCAAACAATTGTCTTAGAAACTCCTAGTTCTAAATTTTATGAGAACCACTTATATATTATTTACTAGAAAACACTACTAATGAATATTATTCGTTCATTACAGAAATACTATTTGTTAAATTATTATGATTTAGGATATGTTATTTTAAAATATTTTATGTTAACTTGGATGTAAGTTTATAAATTGGAAATTGTCTCCAAGAGTTCAAGGTAAAGGCTAGGAAAGAGACATTTAAAGAACAGGTAAGTACTGCGGATGTTTTGATAGTATACAGTGCATATGAAATAGAATCTTGTGTTATCTGAATTTTTGTTTTGCCTTCTTCAGTAGTGATAATTGAAATGACTATAAAGTTTCTGAGGTTATGAGAATAAGAAACCTCATGCACTCATGATGACTTCTAAGACACAGAGTGGTTCTATGATATAATGTAGGCAAAACTTCTTTGAACATTCTGAAGTACTATATAAATAAAAAGTTGTATTGTTAAATACAAAAGACCTGCTATGGAAAATAAAATGCCATAAAAATACTGTACAAGTACTTAAGTTTTCTGAATTTTAGGTAAAGGAAGCAAAAAGCAGTGAACAATTTAACCAATATTTATTTAGTAAGTACCTGTTTATGGAGAGCATTACAAATGACTTTCCCAAAGTTAAATGGAACGTCATCTCAGAGGCAGGATAATAATCACTCCCAAATTCAGCTCTCCAAGTCCTAATTAAGTAATTGATTTTGGAATAATGGTCATACTTAAATCCTTTCAAAGTGAACTATAAGACTTGAGGTTTGGATCAAATTTTAATAAAAAACAACATCCAACTTCATTGAAACATTAGTTATATTGAAAATAAACTTGGATCTGGTCTTCCAATAGTATAACCAGTACATTTTGAATTTTATAATAGTTTATCATTTATTAATTTTCCTAATAAAGCCAAACATTGAGACTAAAAAATTGCTACCAGACTGACTCATAAAATGATTCATTTGAAAAATTTCTTACATTTTTCATTTCTCTATTGGAGTGTCTGGTTTTTTTCCCTAGCTTGTTTACATTTTTTTCACCCTTATCACTCCTGAAAAGACAACATGTTGTAGATCAGTAGTAGTTGACGCTTGTTAGTCTTGCCCTATCTTGAATTCAGTTTTTGTCCTCTGATGTTATTTTTAGTGTGCTACTATAATTTAACTTCACCTTTTATAAAAAGCTTCATTTTAGACAATCTTATTTTACTCATTCTCAATATATTTGAACATGTATAGGAATATTCATATATTCATATTTATATATATAGAGAGTCCTGTATTGAGGAATTGTTTTCCTTTGACTAATATTATTTGTTTTTTCAAAGTTAAGTTTTAAACTCAAATCAGTGATTAGTAATTTGTAGCTGCTCTTCATCTCATATTTTAGTTAACAAATATTTATATAGCAATCATTATGACCAGGCACTATTCCAAGTACTTTCTACATATTAATTCATTTAACCCTCACAACCTTTTAAGGGAGGAAATATAATTATGCTGTGTAATTATGCTCATTTTATAGACTAGGAAACCAAAGTATGAATAGGTAGAGGCAGGGCTGGAAACAAACCTAGGCAAACTGACTCAAAAGTCCATTCTTTTGGGCACTGTGCCCTGCTGCCTGCCTGCCTCCTGCCTCTCATACAAAGAGAGATGTTTTGTTTTGTTTTATTTTTTGCTTTGCTTTTGAGAGGCTCTTTCCTGGTATATCTCTTCCCCAGAGTTAGTTATTCCCAGATATGGTAGACAGCAGAGATTGGTGGAGGGGCCTTCCCTTCTTTGCTACTGGTGGCAGTGGGACTGCTCAAGCAGAGAGAACATACTTCAACTGCTAGAGTGAGAGTCTGCTTTGTGGCCTCTGAAGAGTGGGGCTCCCTCTAATTCATTTCTGTATCCCCCTACACCTAGCATTGTGCTTGGCTATACTGGGCCCTTAGTAAATAATTTGTTGAATGGAATGAAATAATTCTAGTCTCAGTTTTGCAGTTAATCATCTGACATGACCTTCAGTGGATTATTTCATGTCATTCAGCCTCAATTTCCATTTCTATAAAGTGGCAATAATAGTTTGGCTCAGGGATTAAGTGAATTAATGTATGTGAATAGACTATAAAATTTAAAACACTATACGTATAAAAGATAAAATATTTTAAAAGCTGCCTTTCTTTTTTTTTTTTTTTTTTTTTTTTTAAGATTTTTATTGGGGAATTGGGGGGATGGGAACAGTGCTGGGGAATTGGGGAAAGGGGAACAGACAAGTTGCTGTTGTTTTGTTCTTCAATCTAGTTGTGGAGGACGTTGCTTCACTGGCCCAAGTTGGCACCATCATTGCGCTCTTCTCTGGCGAGGCAGATCAGTCGCCGGCTTCTGGACGGCCGCTCACTGCGGCTGCTGGCCGCTCACGCTGGCTGCTGGCCACACACGGTAGCCCATGGCAATCCACTGTCACAGGGACTGCAGCCCACGCCGTCGCCGGCGACTCATGGCAGCCCAGCTCCAGGTTGAGCTGTTGTTCAGCATCTTAGCTGTGGAGGGCAGTGTCACTGGCCCTCATATGTGGGATCCGAACCGGGGCCCTCTGGCATCCCAAGCCAGTTCTTAACCATCGCGCCACTCGGCCGGCCCCTAAATGACTTTTAAAATTAGTTTATTACCATGCTGTTGTCAACAAATAATAGCACCTAAATATATTTTATTGCACCCACAAAGAAAAGCTTTTGGAATTTTTCTTTCCAAGTTGAGAAAGGGGAGCCCCTTGAATGCTATAGAGGTTTATTTTGGTTGATGGCTGCTCTGTGTTTGAATTTGTTCCAGCTGTGCTACAGTGCTGTTCTCCTCCTACCCACATGGATGCTCTCAGTAATTGTGTCACTCCCACTGCCTCTTCCTATGCACACTGCAACTATTTCCAGGTAAGATCTTGGAACAATGACATATGAAGTCTGATAATTAAGTTCGCGAACTCATCCTAGAAAAAGTGCTACATACCTCATTGCTTAGTATCACTACGGTCACCTTCAAAGTACTCCCCTTGGGAAGCTATGCACTGACGCTAGCACCCAGGCCATCCTACAAAGCAATTTTGGAACTGGTTTTCTGGAATGGCCATCAGAGCTGTCATTGTATTACCCTTGATATCCTGATGTCATAAAAATGTCTTCCTTTCAATATTTCCTTTATCTTCAGGTAAAGAAGTCATTGGGGGCCAGATCAGGTGAGTAGGGAGGGTGTTCCAATACAGTTATTTGTTTACTGGCTAAAAACTCCTTCTCAGACAATGCCATGTGAGCTGGTGCATTGTCATGATGAAAGAGCCATGAATTGTTGAGAAAAGCTCAGGTCGTCTAACTTTTTCATGCAGTCTTTTCATTTTTAGGACTTCCAAATATTGGGTTGTGGGAAAAGTATGACGCATTTTTGCGATGAAAAACATAGAAAAATACGTCATGACTTTTCCGACAACCCAATAGTAAACTTGGTTAACTCTTTGTCCAGTTGGTACAAATTCATAATGAATAACCCCTCTGATATTAAAAGAAATGTTAGCAACATTGTTGCAACAAGTTCACGAACTTAATAGTCAGACCTCGTACTCTGTATATCAGGTACAATATTATTGACCTTCCAGAATTTCAAAGTGTAATTTTATCTTAATGAATAGCTAGAGGTAAGCTGTGGATTATGGCCTTAGTTTTCTCAATTCTAAAAAAAGAGTTTATCTAAATGATGTTTGAGGATTCTTCTTGTCTTGCACTGTCCAATATAGTATGCACAAGCCACATGTGGTTAGTTTAAATTTAAAGAAATTATAATTAAATAAAATTTAAAATGTATTCCTCAGTCACATTAGCCACATTTCAAGTGCTCTCTAGTCTCATATGGCTAGTGGCTACCAAATTATACAGCACAGATAGAAAACATTTCCATCATTGCTGAAAGTTAGTTTGAACAGTGCTATTCCTAGGCTCTTCTATGGTAAAATGAATACCAGATAAACTCTAAAAGGTTATAAGTCACTAAATGACAGACTCTTACAAGATGGCACTTACTTTTTCTTAAGGAGAAAAGAAAAATGATGTCAAAAATTAGAAATTTAAGTGGTGGTCTCTCCTTCAGCCCCCATGTTGTAAACAGTGTACTTCAATTATCTTCTCATTATTATGAAACAATTGCTTTGATTTCAATGTTTTAGACTGCTATTCCTAGGTTAAATAACATGCTTTGTATTTCTATGCTATAATTACTTAAAGGTTGTAATTATGTGCTTGCTTTTGATATTATGCAGCCAAGATATAGCTTTCCGTTCTTAAGAGAATATCTTGTGGCATTCCAGTACACAAAATAACATTCTTTTTTTTTTTTTTTGAGAAAATCTACTTGTGAAGTCAAATTATAATCAGATTGTTGTTTGAAGAGTATAGAATCAGATCAGGAGAACTTAGTTGGACATTTTTAATGGCAGATATCATCAATCATGATAGTCCAGTCTATTTATCTTGACTAGAGGGACATATCTATCACACAAATTAGGTGTTTTTATTTGTGGATCCACACACTGTCTCCAGTGAATCATGCTGGAGATGCTCTGACAGTGTTCATATCTTGATTATGTTTATGTCTTAAATTATTTAAAACATCTTTAAAGACCTTTTATTATTACAAAGACAATACATGTTTATTATAGGAAAATAGAGATAGGTAGACATAAGATTTTAAAATGGAAAGAAAGTGAAAGTATTTTGGGTGCCATTCTAGAATTAATGCAGTTAGTTGGACTGTAGGTAAGTGTGTGCATGAATGGTCAGTATATTGTAATGGTTAAGAGCAAGAGCTCTTGAGTAATGCAACCCTAGGTCTGAAACCTGGCTCTATCAGTTATTTCATTATGACTTTGGGCAAATTACAAAGTTTCTCTGAACTTCAGTTTCATCATTTGGAAATGGAGATTTTCGCATTTCATAGACCTCTTATAAGGATTAAATGAAATAATGTATATATAGCACTTTGCATGTGCTTGGCACATAGTGAGAACTCAATAAATAGTGCTGTTGGCTATAGTAAAAGTAGCTTGATGCTTAAACTATTGAAATATATGTTATTTGGTATTAATGTTCTCTAAATTATTGACACAACCTTTGTAGTGTGTTTGGCAACATCAGCACACTGCACATTTTATTTAATCATAACTTCTGTATTTTATGTTTATAATTTGAGATAATCAACAAACATTTATTGAATGCCTACTCTGTGCAAAGCTCTACATTTAGCAGTACAACTCATTACATGTTTTATTTAATCATTACTTTTCATTATTTTATGTTCATAGGTTGAGATCATTTATTACCAAACATGTCATTGACTGCCTACTCTGTGCAAAGTACTATGTATAAGGGAATACATTTTAAGATATCAATCTAAAAGTGACATCTTTTTTTTTTTTTTTAAATTGGGGAATTGGGGGATGGGACCAGCGCTGGAGAATTGGGGGAAGGGGAACAGACAAGTTGCTGTCCCTTTGTTCTTCAGTCTAGTTGTGGAGGACGTTGCTTCACTGGCCCAAGTTGGCACCATCATTGCGCTCTTCCCGGGCGAGGCAGATCAGTCGCCGGCTTCTGGACGGCCGCTCACTGCGGCTGCTGGCCGCTCACGCTGGCTGCTGGCTACACACGGTAGCCCATGGCAACCCACTGCAACAGGGGCTGCAGCCTACGCCGTCGCCGGTGACTCACGGCAGCCCAGCTCCAGGTTGAGCTGTTGTTCAGCATCTTAGCTGTAGAGGGCAGTGTCACTGGCCCTCATATGTGGGATCCGAACCGGGGCCCTCTGGCATCCCAAGCCAGCTCTTAACCAATGCGCCACCCGGCCGGCCCAAGTGACATCTATTTTTAATTAAATTTTTTATTATTAAAAACAAACAATCTCACAAACCAGTGGACATTTGATATTCCATCTGTTTTTTCTGAGATCATTTGGAACAGAATATCAGTACCTCCCCCTGAATCTATAGAAGCATTGGTGGACTTGTGAGCATCCTGTGTTTGAAATTTCCTTACTACATTCCTAAAACAATATATGATAGATACAATTGATGTTTTTGTCTGTCATCCTTTATGGAAGAATTTGGTATACAGACATTTTATCAGCAAATAGGTATTTGGGTACGAAGCTTTTGATTTTGTTTTTTAACTCTGAGAATTATTGGTCCATTCCAGTATTAAACTTAGCATAGTGGTTGACATATAAAAGTTGCTAAGTAAATATTAACAATAGAATTGAAGCTACCACTGCTGAAAAGTTGATTCGTGTCCAAGTTTTCTTAGTAAGCTTTAGTTTAAGTTTAATCTATTTCTGTTTAGCATTCATCAGCCTAAATGTTGTTGCTTTCCTCCTTAATCTCATATTTAATTTTCTATCCAAACAGTCCTATTTTCTCTTTTCCCAGAATCCTCCAATGCAGTCCGCCTATCCAGTTGATTTTCTGCCTTCTAATTGGCCTTGCAGTACTACTGATGAAAATAAAAAGACAGAAGTAAACCTAGAGGCTGTTTTTCAGATAGTAGATGAATTGCATTCCTCCCCTAAATTGGAGATGGTAAAGGTGGAGCCTGTTGAGAATCAGTGCCCAACATCTCAGTCTAACAGAGGCCAACCTATCCTAGCTAATTCAAGCAACAGCAATCTATCTTCCACAAGTCAGGCTAGCCAGCTGGAGCCACTTACTCCTGTAGGCTCTGATATTACATCTTTTGTGGTCGGAACAGAACAAGCAATTACCTGCCCTCTACCACAGTCACCTGAGTACATCTATACCATCCACACAGCTCAGCCTGTTGAAAATACTACAATGCAGGAATCTGCAGCCATTCAACAAGCTCATGTGAAACTGAAGGAGCAGCTAAGTCATAATTCATCTCCATCTTCAATAGTCTTTGTGCAGGAAGGGCTACCATTCAGCACACACCAGGTAAGGGGAAAAGAAAAAATCCCAGTAAAGCTTAAAGTACCTAATTCTTGCTAAAGACTGTTCTAGTGAGGAGTTTGTTCAGATTTTATTTGGGTTTAATACCAGTTCATTATGCTTTCCAGAAGCATCATGTCCTAGTGGTTCTGCACAAAAGATTCAGAAAGAATTCACCTTAATCCCCAGCCATCCTCTCACTATGCTATTTGGTCTGAAGTCAACCTCTAGAGAGGCATTCTGATTGAGCATTGTGGTATAAGATTTATTTTCATGTTAAAAGCATGCCTTCAGGTTTGCTTCCTGTTTCCTATCTTAATTTGGATTGGACGAGGTATGCTTGACTGATTAAATTCTACTACTCTGAAGGGATGATTTATCTGACAGATAATATCAGAACTTCCTAATCATTTGTAGCATGGAAGTAAGGAGATGATTGGAGGTATTTTCATACTTTCTTACATCATTATTGAATTCTAATTTGACTTGTGAGTATACTGTGTTTGAATTTCCTTACTAATATCTACATTGTTAAAACAGAACTCTTACTAGTTTGAGACACATATTCTGAAGGTAGAGGCTAATTCCTTTATTGTTGCTAGTTTTTGAAAATGAATAAATTTTGATTCTAAATAAAAGTACATACAATTAAAATCGCTTTTTAAATTTAATTTAATAAGTATTTTTTTCCTACTTTTAATTTTTTTTCTTGATCTTAGCCTTTTTTTTTCATTTTGGATTTTCTATTTAATGGGACTTTGGGCCTCATTGTTAGAGAGGCCCAAGATAACTTTTAGGCAGTTTTTTTTTTTAAAGCTGAGTCATCCTGCCACCTGTTGGCAGCTTAGCAGCAGCGCAGCTCAGGCAAGTTATCGGACCGGCGTCCCTATTGCTCAGAGCTTGTACTCTTAAGCGAGCTCTTAACCAACTGAGCCACTCAGCCGGCCCTAGGCAGTCTTTTTTAATACATTCTTTTTTAGCTCTAATTTTAAATCCAAATGTATTAAGGTTTCTGTCAACTCATTTTCCTTTTTGAGCCCAAATGTTGAAACCCAGTATATTATGTGTTAAAATAATATAAATTCAGTAGACCAAAGACAGCCCATTATGTTTCAAATATACCTATGCAAACAACATAAATTTGTCTCTGTTCCTTCATAGTCGCATCTAAAATATTAGATTTCATGCCTTAAAATTGCATTCACATTCTTACTTTTTCTTTAAAATATATATTTAAACATCACAGCTTTTGAAAGCTACGATTTTAACTTATAGCTTTATTTCATTAGTTTTAGTTTTATTTTAAAATAAATTCATAAAGAAATAGAGTCACCTTGTCAAAGGGATTTGACAATCCAAAGAAAGCTTAGGAACTCCCAAGAAAGAAACATATCTCATAAGCAAGGCATATCTAGATTTTGAGGGCCACTTTAAGACAAAGAATACAAAATTGGTAAAGTGTCCACAGCCCCACTGACATCATCCAACAGGATTATGTTTATGGGCATTTCAATATGACCAACAGGAGGGGAAATCTGATGGAAGGGATTCTAGAGTGGAAAAAGATAGTGATCTTAGTCAATTATAGATTTTTGTGTGTGAATTTTACCAAAAAAATCAACAGGCTTCATGGTAAATCTTCCGGTGAGCAAAAGTAAATGTTTTAGCTCTACATGCATTTCAAAAGTTTGTGTATTATGGGGAAATATACATCTTACTACCAAATATTCAAATTAGATCAACACAATCAAAGGTAGTATCATTCATAAGGATCTTTACAAGCATGTTTGTTGGATCATGTTTCTATAGTAGAACTCCTCTGATAAAATAACTTTTCATAAATATTTGGAGAAAATTCAGAATAATGAGTGGGTTTAATATTTTAGGTGGATGCCAGTATAAAATGCCAGACCGATCCTCCTGAGAATATCTTGCCTTCAGAACAGATGGGATTCCTTATTTCAGAAATGGGGCCTGAGAGCAAGCCTAATAAAGACACAGGTTTATCCACTCCAGCCAGATACAGAGAGCGGAGAAGCAGCTCACAGCAAGCAAAGTCCCCTGGTAAGGATTAGCGTGCTCTAGAATGTTAGAAGTAGAAACATGGTGTAGAATTTATATATGAATGACAGTTTTTCTGGGTCTTCATTTATTATTATTTGTATTATACTTATCACATTGCTGTTTACATAACTAATTTTAACTCTTTCTTCTTAATTATCCTTGTAAAGTATGTAAAAGTTTTTTTCCTTAATATTCCATGTAAGAATTTGAGCTTTTGAAAAGGTAGAACATAGTAAGTAAAACCAAAGGAATTTGGGTTAAATTGGAGAAGGTAAAGATGAAGAGTGATTTAATAACTGCTTCAGATGCCAAAGACTTTGTATTTATAGATGTACTTGTTCTCTTATTAACAGACTATAGGAAAAGAGGAAATGCACTTTAATTGTAGCAGGAAAAATTAGATGGACATTAAAGACATTATCCTGAGCACATTATAAAGATACTGTAAAGTATAACTCTGTGTCAGTAGGATTGTTTCTCTTGTGGTTTGTAGGAGCCCAGAATTAGTGATTGTTTTAGGCACATACAGTTGGTTTACTCTAGGGAAAATTGGGAAAAATCATTTTTTAAACAAAATAGTGGCATCTAATAAAATGTGTTTCTTATGTGGTCAAAAAAACATGTCATCAGAGCCTACAGTGGGCAACTTTAATATTCTCAAATTATATGCATGGCAGAGGGATGCAATTCAAGTAGATTTAGTCAATCAGATCAAGTAGTCATTTTAACCTATAAAAATTTGAAAAATGTTGAGAACTTCTGTGAGAATTTCTCCAAAAAGTACACTAATAGTGAAGTGATATGTTCAAGATGTTGTTCAGACTCATTGGGTTCTTTCTGCAAAACACCTTTTAGACTAAAAACTATTATTCATGAACTATCATTCATTAAACTTAGCTTGCATAGTCACTTTTAGTTGAGTATATGATCCAATCCATGATCAAAAATTAAGATTTCTCACCACTAAAGGTTTTTAAAATAATGGCATAGACTTTGAAGGCAATTTAGAAAAGGACAGGAAGTAATATTTACTGCATACCTATTTTTATGCTATACAACAAACTCGATGAAAGTGGTATTGTTATTGTTTTAAAAGATCAGGAAACTTAGGCTTGTGGAGGGTAAGTAAGTTGTTCAAAGTCATACATTTATTAATGCAGCTAATATTGTACTGGGTTTATTTCTGGTCTCTTTATCCTAGTCCATTGAATCCAACAATATTTAAAAATGGTAATACACCATAACCAAGTATAGTTTGTCTCAGGAATGAAAGGCTTTATCGATTTTTAAAAATTTAACAGTGTTATATACCATATTAACAGAATAAAGGGGAAAATGATTTCAGTAGATGCAGGGAAAGCACTTGACAAAATTCAGCACTCATAATAAAAACTTTCAATAAAGTAGGGATAGTAGAAAATTCCTCAAATTGATAAAGAGCATCTATAAAATATGTATAGTGAAGATCGTAATAAACACTGAAAGACTGAACTGTTTACCCTTGAGATTGGGAATAAGGCAAGGATGCCCACTTTTATTACTTTATTCAGTATTGTACGGGTGGACCTAGCCATTGCAATAGTCAAGAAAAAGAAATAAAAGGCATAAAATTGGAAAGGAAGAAGTAAAACTGTATTTCATATGATATGATTATTTATGTAAAAAAAGTCTAGGGAATCTATAAAACGACTACTAGAACAAATAAATGAATTTAGCAAGGTTGCAGAACATAGGTTAATATACAAAAGCAATTGTATTTTTATAAACTAGCAGCACATCATTGGAAAATGAAATTTAAAAAAACCAAGCATTTACAGTAGGACCAAAATCATAAGATACCTAGAAATAAATTGAACAAAGATGCCTAAGACCTCTACACTAAAAACTACAAATTTTGCTAAAAGAAATTAAGGAATTTCTTAATTTCCATAAATAAATGGAAAGATATGCATGTTCATGGATAAGAAGACCCAATATTGTTAAAGTGATGGTTCTCCCCAAATTGATATATAAATTCAATGCAATACCAATAAAAATTCCAGTAGGCTTCCCTCCCCGCCCCCACCACCACCACCAGGACCCATCAGCTCCAAGTCTAGTAGTTGTTTCAATCTAGTTGTGGAGGACGCAGCTCACAGTGACCCATGTGGGGATCAAACCAGAAACCTTGGTGTTATGAGCACTGCATTCTAACCAACTGAGCTAACCTGCCACCCCAGTAGACCTTTTTTTTAATGACAAACTGATTCTAAAATTTAAAGGGAAATGCAAAGGACGTAGAGTAACCAAAGTAATTTTTAAAAACAAAACGTTGAAGGGCACCTCACATGATTTCAAGACTTACCATAAAGCTACAGTAATCAAAATAGTTTGATATTGGTGAAAAGGTAGACATATAGATGAGTGAAACAAAATAGAGAGTACAGAAATAGACCCACAATGTGGTCAATTGGTTTTCAACAAATGTGCTAAGGCAATATAATGGAGAAAAGAAAGTCTTTCTAACAGAAGCTATCATTGACCCATTCCTCACACCATAAAAATTAACTCAAAATGAATTACAGACCTAAATATAAAACCTAAAAATTATAAAATTTTCTAGCAGAAAACTATATGGTCAATGTGGTCAATTGGTTTTCAACAAATGTGCTAAACCTAAAACTATAAAATTTCTTGAAAAAAATAAGAGAAAAACTGCTACTTTAGGGTGGGCAAAGATTTCTTAGAACACAAAATGCATGATTAATAAAGAAAAATTGATAAATTGGATTTCATCAAAATTTAAGTTTTGTTCTTTGAAAGACACCATACAGAAAATGAAAAAGCAACCCAAAGGCTAGGAGAAAACATTGATAACACATATCAAAATGAAGGACATATCTAGAATGTAAAAAGAACTCTTATAATGAAATTCAAAAATGGGAAGATATGAACAGACATTTCACAAAAGAAGACAGAAAAATGGCCAATAAGCACTTGGAAAGATGTTTAACATGTTTACTCATCATGGAAGTCAGATTAAAACTACAATTTGATATCATTATACCCTTATTAGAATGGCTAAACATTTTTTAAGATTTTTATTACAGATATAGCTAATATACAATATTATATTAGTTTCAGGTATACACCATAGTATGGTATGTATGTATGTCATTTACATACCCAAAGAAGTAAGTGATCACCATGATAAGTCCAGCAGCCATCTGACACTGTACAATGCTATCACAATATTATTGACTACTATATTCCCTATGCTGTATATTACAATTACATCTGCATGACTTATTGTTTTATACCTGGAAATTTGGACCTCTTATTTGCCTTTTACCTATTTCCCCTTTTTTAATTTTTCAATTATAGTTGACATTCAATATTATTTTATATTAATTTCAGGTGTACAGTATAGTGGTTAGAGATTTATATAATTTAAGAAGTGATCCCCCTGACTAGTTTAATGCCCACCTGGCACAGTTATTACCATATTATTGACTATATTCCCTATGCTTTACTTTACATCCCCATGACTATTTTGTAACTACCAATTTGTACTTCTTACTCCCTTCACCTTTTGCAGCCTGCTCCCCCAAATCCCTCCCATCTACCACTCTGGTAAATCTAGTATTCATCTAACACTGCACATAGTTATTACAATATTATTGACTATATTCTTTATGCTATACCCTACAACCCCATGACTACTTTGTAACAACCAATTTGTACTTCTTAATCCCTTCCCGCTCCCCCAACCCCTCTCATCTGGCAACCATCAGAATGTTCTCTGTACCTATGAGTTTGTGTATTTTGTTCTTTAGATTTCACATATAAGTGAAATCACGCTGCTAGATTTCACATATAAGTGAAATCACGCTACATCTGTCTTTCCCTGTCTGACATGCTCCACTCAGCACAATACCCCCCAGGTCCATCCACACCGTTGCAAATGACAAGAACTCATTCCCTTCCCTGGCCAATCAATATTCCATTGTATATATGTATCACCTCCTCTTTATCCATTCATCCATCGACGGACACCTAGGCTGCCTCTACATCTTGGCCATTGTAAACAATGCTGCAATAAACATATGGATGCACATGTCCAGATGGTAGTCCAGGTTGATTGTTCTATAATTTAGTTGTATTTTTAATGTGTTCATGGGAGGAGGCAAGCACAGCGTTTATCTACTACACCATCTTGGATCTCATATTAATAGAATGACTACAATTTTTAAAAAGGAAAAAAAAACATGATCATACCAACTGTTGATGAGGCACCCGGAACTCTCATACACTGCTCATGGGAATTAAAAATAAGATAACCACTTTTGGAAACAGTTTGACAATTGGCTGTTCCTTAAAAATTAAGTTAAACATATACCCACCACCCAATCCAGCCATATCCACAGAAAGACCTATACACAAATGTACAAAGCAGGTTTTTTTTGTAATAGCTCAACAACCCTAAAAGCAACTACAGGGCCGGCCGAGTGGCGCAATGGTTAAGAACTGGCTTGGGACACCAGAGGTCCCCGGTTTGGATCCCACATATGAGGGCCAGTGACACTGCCCTCTACAGCTAAGATGCTGAACAACAGCTCAACTTGGAGCTGGGCTGCCGTGNGAGGGCAGTGTCACTGGCCCTCATATGTGGGATCCGAACCGGGGCCCTCTGGCATCCCAAGCGAGTTCTTAACCATCGCACCACTCGGCCGGCCCTAAAAGCTGCCTTTCAAATGAGCCTAGATATTAACACTTTTAAAAGCTAAATCAAGTAATTTGTAAGAATATATATTTCCCCCCAAGGTACATATGATTTTTTAATTTTTTATTGACAAAGTGTATCGTATCATTTAAAAAATTTTCTGAATTGACTATTGGACAAAAAGAGTTGCTTATTATTGTTTCAAAGTACATTTAAATTCTAAAGAGTTGATCTTTAAGCTTCTAATCCTACATAATATACTTAAAAAAATATAGAATCTGGAATTATAAGAACTTTC